TCATGAATCGATTATGAGCTATTCTATTTCTCTGAATAGATTAGGGTGCCTTGTTTGTTTTTGGTTGTATATTTGAAACAAGTCAAATGTTTCTTTTCAAATCTCTACTGATCGACCATGAATATGAATTTATTATTTAAACGCCTCAAAATACTTAAAATAGACTAATGACCTTTTGTAGTATATCTTCGAAGCAAGTAAGGATAGATCCTCATGTTGTAAATGATTTCAAATACTATTACTTAGATAGAAATCATTGATAACAAGAAACTAAGCACAAACTTCAATCTATCAAATGTTGAGTATTTTTATTCAAAATTCATTTCGAACCGATTTTCATAAAAAATCATCTTCAGTAGTAGGATGTGACACGATAAATGCATTGTCAGTGCATATGAATGACCTATGATAACATAATGATAAACTGCGTTGTAGTTAATGACGTCGTTAGATTTAGTCAAAGTGCAAATACAGAAAAAGAAATAAAAAAGAACCACTAAAAATAGCTTTAAGATCAAATCACGAATTGCATACACCCCACAGCATTGATTATAAAGCCGATTAGAACATACAAAATATCGACGAAATAAACGAATGCGTTGTTTTTATTCAGATCTACACGATAGATCAAGACGTTCTAGATCAGACATTTAGATAAAATAGTTAAATTTGCTTCCTATGATATGTTTTTTTAACAATCTTAGTAGAATATCATTTAAGCGTCACTAATTGTCAGAAAGAAATTAATCATTTCGAAGATGTCATTCTTAGATCACATAGCAAATGTTCTTAAAGTTTGTTCTGAACTTGTGTAATTAGATGGATTATGGATGAAAGTCATCTTTCGAAACTATTTATGTCAATCAGAAAACATCAATTTCGGACACAAATTTGAGCTTTATTTTGTTTTCTATCATTCAAGCCTTGATTTATATGTATATTATATATTACCAGAAAACTAAAAACTATCCTATTTTCTTGTACACTTTATTGTGAATAATAATATGTCAATCGATTTCAATAAAATTACATGATTGTAGAACTTCAACAAATGAGTTTGATAATTTTGATTCTTTTTCAAAATTCTAAATACCCGGTCAAAGAAATTCGTATTATAGGTTATTTAATAAAAACTTAATTGAATGTTTTGAGATACAGCATGTGGTATGCTCACTTCCAAAAAAAGTCAATTTCATGAAACAAAGCAAATTGAAGAGAGAGATTCGCGGGAGGATAATGTAAGGTCTGATCATTCGTAATCACTATAGTTTTTAGTTGTCATTTTTTTTTGTATCGATATAATGTTCGATGATTTTTGTCATCTTCTTCCAAAAAAAACACAATTTCTTCATAAAACACGTATTGTTACAGATTGTAAAAGGTGTCTGAGCAAGCTTCAAACAAGAAAAAAAACTTGGACAACACTTAAGTTAAATTCACTAGCTGGTAATGTCGGAAGCGCATTAAAATATTGAAGTATTGTAAAATTTCTTTTTCAAAAGTCTTTTGTTTTTGTCTGTTTACACTTTTTCAAGGGTGCATCGCTAAATTCTTAACGAACTATGCATAAAAGGTTAGAATTTTGAGACGCCAAGCAAGTGACTTGAGAGCCTTGTTTGACAAGTATCTCTTTTTAAATACCATCGTATTGAGCAGAAACTTTTCGGATAGCCTCTCCAATATATCTTCAACATGTTCTAAAATTTCCACACGATTGCAATATACTTGAGGCAAAATCGATTTCGGTCAAGAACCTTTAAGTATTATATGAACTTAGCTGACAATAGTATTTTTGAGTTCTTCTTAATATTGGAACATGTAGCAAACAAATTTTACAGTCAACACCATTCATAGTGCAAATCCAATGACACCTTGGAACAGCTACAGTCATAAATTTCACATTCTCAAAACAAACTTTCACTTCGCTTGACATTCGTACTTAAAATTTTAATTTAAACTCGTTCATAAACGCCAATATCAATCCTATAACAGTCAAAATCGGAGATGTTGGTATCATTTTCGAATAATCCTAAATTCATGCTTGAAATTTCATTTTCATGTTCTAATGGCACGAGTAAATAATATAATATTTATGCTTGTTTTATATATTGTGTTGATGAATGAAATGCGATGATATTTTATAAGAAGAAAAAAAAGCAACAACAATAATAATAATAATAAAGAGAAAATAAACGACAGATACTGTTTCTTATGAGTTAAATTTTCTTTTGTTAATGATCATTTGCATTAAATCATGCTTTAAGATATTTTAAAAACAAACATATAAGGAACAATGAAAAATATTTAAATGTTATGCCATTCTAATGCTTTGAATTATTTGAAAGACAGCCGAACCAACTACAACGAAAACAAATAAAGCCAAAAGCCATGGACCAACAGGTGTTTTTGAATCAACTTGTTTATTTGTTTTTGGTACATTACCACGTTGTGTAACTTTTTTATTATGTACTTCAACAGCTCGTTTACGTTTTGAATGATTAGCTGGCATATTTCTTTTCAAATAAAAATGAATATAATTCTATATATTATCAAACAAGCAAAAAAAAATCAAGCCACGTGGAAACCCTTAAAGTCTTTCGTACGCCTCTGTTCATTTATTTAGAAGATAGTGACATCTTTATGTAAAAACATAGATGAAGGCGTGCATTAGTCAGCAATGGTATGAAAAAATAACTTAACTTTTCTAGTCTTTATCTTCGTATTCTTTATTTTCACTCAAAGACTTTTCTTTGATATCTTTCAAGGTTATAGATGCCTGTTCAAACACTCCCATCTGAATGGGATCTAACACCTGATGAAATAAAGTTAATTCAAAAACGTGCACAATTACGTGCAACAACGAAAGCAGAATTTCTTAAACGTTACAGAAATCCATTTTATGCTAGTGTACCCGGTCATTTTGTAAGTAAATATGATTTATTTCCTGTCTTTCAATTATGTTTTTTATTTTTATTTTACTTTTGATAAGGTGGACCCACAAAATATTCGCCTTTATGCTTATCAACAAAATAGTTATCGTTATTTATATACGTCACCACGTATACTTCTTGCGCCTGCACTTTTCCTTCTAGTTGGTGGATTACTTCAATACTTTGCACAGAAAAAACGAGTAAGTTTTAAAGATTAATTTATTTAAAAAAAAAAAAAAAGTTTATTTCTATTTTGTTAGATTCAATATAATAACGATTGTAATGCTGGAAAAGTTCCATATGCAGATCGACCGGACTTTAAAGCTTATTTTTAAATAAGCCATCTCAAATCCTCATCATATTTTTCTTTTTGATCATCTTTGTAGATTTGATTTTCTCCCTTCTCTAGATAAGAAAAAAGAACCTGCTAAAGTTTGTTTTTTTTGTTGTAGATAAATACTGGAGTTAATGTCTTTCGACAATAGCTATCAAGACCCAATTTTACCATCGGATAAAAAACATATTCAAGTAAAAATTTTCAAATGTATATTTTTGAAATTTTAAAAAATATCTTTTTTCTTTTAGCATCATGGTCTTACAGTATTCACTGCCGCTATATTTATCACTGGAGAAATGGCTGGTACGGGTCTGTTAGCATTACCGAAAGCTATGGATCAAGCTGGATGGTACGGTCTTATATCGACTTTTGTTCTATGCTTTCTATCCGGTTATTCTGGTATTAAATTAGGTGATTGTTGGACGATGTTAAGAGAAATGAATCCAGTTTATTCTGAAGAAGGTAGTCGATCACCATTTCAAGTCATAGCTACTGAAGGTGCTGGCCGTATTGGAAAGTAAGTTAAATTTACTTTTATTTTTTTGTTTTTTTTTTATATGAAAATTTTAATATTGGTATATAGGTATGTGTTAATATTTGTCATTTATTTTCAATTGTTGGGTGCAAGAACTATTCGTTAGCGATGTTAGTAAAAAAAGATAAAGAATATTATTATCTTTGTATATATTTGTCAAGTTGGTGAAGATATATTTGAATAGTTAAACAGGTGTTGTATTTTTACTTTTGGCTGCACAAAATCTTCAAAGTTTATTTGATGGTATTCATGCACATCTTCCTGTATGTATATGGATTCTTATTGTTGCTGCTGTTCTTCTTGGTCCATGTTGGCTTGGAACACCAAAAGATAGTTGGTAAGATGTTTATATATAAATTATATCGTCAGAAGTTAAACAAAGAAAATGTTCTTATTTCAGTAGTTTGTCAGCAGATTGGAGAGGAATAAATTGGATCACATTCTTCATTAGCTAGAAATATCTTCAAACTTGTCCTTTTTTTCTAGAAGTCGAAATTTCAATGAAATAATGTATTTTAGCTTTTGAATAAAACCTGTCAAGTTCAGATCTGTAAATTTTCTATTAACCGAATCCAAAAATTTTAAACTCAACGATAGAGTTTGGTGGTTTCGACTTTATTCCAATGAACTCAATTTATGAAACTTATTCAATAATACTGTCGTACCTTTCAACCTGTATCTCTGATATACAATGTCTTGAAAGTTTTATCCGTACTTTGAACAGATTCTTATCTAAGTGATACTGATAAATCGACTCTATCTTCAGTCTTGATTAATTGATAAGTATGATGAAAAATGAATGAAAAATTCATAACAAAATATAGCTGATATTATAAAATTAAGGTCAAAAATAGATCCATTAACTGTGAAGTAGAAACTTAAAGATAAATTAATTAATGAACCAAAAAAATAATTAGAAAACTTAATTTTTTCTCTTGACCTTTTATATCATTGTTTATTATATTAGTCTAATAAATATCCTATATGAAAATTTTTATTTTTATATAGGCCTATAGCTATTGGTGCAATGGTTTGTACAGCTATTGCTTGTGTATTTATTACAATCAGTATTCTTATGCATTATCGAACAATTGAGCGATATAACCCAAGTTCAATTACATTTAAATCATTTTCATTTTCAATGGGAACGATGTTTTTTGCATGGGGTGGTTCAGCAATGTTTCCAACAATACAAGTTGATATGCGTCAACCACATCGATTTCATTTAGCAGTAATTATTGCTTATTCAATTTTATTAGTTTTTTATTTACCTGTATCAATTATTGGATATACTGTTTATGGTTCACATGTCCAAGATAATATATTAAAGAATTTACCAAAAAATTTTCTTCGTTATACAGTCGAAATATTAATTACTGGTCATTTAGCAATGGCATTTACAATAGTATTAAATCCAATATTTCAAGGTTTTGAAGAACTTACACGTGTACCAAAACATTTTTGTTGGCAACGTGCTGCATTACGTAGTGGTATTGTCATATTTTTAGCATTTATGGCGGAAACAATACCACATTTTGGTGCTATACTTGCATTTATTGGAAGTTCAACAGTATCAATATTAGGTTTTATATTACCGGTAGTTTGTTTTGTTATGATTAAAGTTCAATCAACTCAATTAGTTCATGAAAGATTTTTAGATACTATATTCAGGTAAGAAATTCTGTTTTTCTTTTCAGTATAGTCACTTTTTTTTTGTTCTCAATCTTATTATTCTATCTTATGTTTCATGCCTTTGTTTTTAATGAATGTATAATGTATAAAAAATAATTTCATTTTTAATTTTTAGGGTGTTACCAAAATGGGATGTTGCTTTATTATTAATAGCATTACTTGTTGGACTTTATGGTGCTTTAGCTTCATCTTATTCATCATTTTCTGACTTAGTTAAGCCAAGTTCATATGGAAAACCATGTTGGCTCAATATAACATCAGCTGATGAAAAAAATTCGAGTTTAACATCATTTTGAACTAATTTGAATTTTCTAATTGAAATGAAATTTTATTTTTTTTTTTTTAATATTTGTAATTATGATTGTTTTTGTTTTGAATGTGATAAAAAAAAAATTTTATTATTATTTTAATACATCTGTTTATTTATTTATTTTTTTAAAGATTAATGTTAAGTCGAAGTAAATTATATCGTTTAACTCGAAATGAATATATACGAGAGATAATTATTATTATCTGTGCTATTGTTATTATTCATCTTTGTAATACATACTATGAGTATACTGGTAATCAATATATATTGATAGATAATGATCATTTAAATGAATTTTGTCCATTATATCCATCTACTCTTCAAGGTAAAATCAATGTTAATGGTATTCAATTGTGATTTTTTTTAAAAATCTCTATATAATAGGAGATAAAAAAGAAGTTATCATGTTAGAAAAAATTGAATGGTCAGATAATCCAACTGTACAAATAGGTATGAGGATTTGTTAGATTTTATTAGTTGACTTTTTAGTAAAAAAAATATTCTAGGTGGAATCTATTCGCCCAATGATTGTAAATCTCGACAAGAACTTGCTATTATTATTCCATTTCGCAATAGAGAATATCATCTTAAATTATTATTAAAATATCTTCATCCATATCTTCAAAGACAAAAACGTTCTTATCAAATATTTGTTGTAGAACAGGTTATGATCCATAAAATTGCTTTCTAATAATATTGGATAATATCCAGATGTAGTTTTGTGAACTATATAAAACAAAAACTAATGTTTCAAACATTTTTCATACAAAAAAAAAATGTTTATTCATTAGTTCATTCACAAAAATTACGCAAATATTCTGAAAGAATATCTTTTATATCATTCATACAAAATAGTTAAGATTTTTCTACAAAATTAATAAATAAATATCAATTTTATCATTTATAATTATTTAGATAGGCAATGTTACATTCAATAAAGGTATAATAATGAATGTTGCATTTCAAGAAGCATTGAAAATTCGTCCAACATTTAACTGTTTTATCTTTCATGATGTTGATTTGGTACCAGAGAATGATTATAATGTTTATGAGTGTGATCCAAAAGCACCAAGACATTTATCACCTGCTGTTGATGAATTACGTTATGTGTAAGTAAGAAGTTTAGTATTTATTTAAATAATTAAATTTGGTTTTTGAATGTTGTTTTTTTTTTCTAAGATTAATGTATAATCATCTGGTTGGAGGTGTTTTAGCAATAAGTAAAGAACAATTTATTTCAGTTAATGGATGGTCAAATTTATATTGGGGTTGGGGAGTCAGTAGAATTTTTTTTTTTTTTTGAAGTGTAATAATTATTTCTCTTTGTTGTTGTAGGCAGAAGATGATGGTAAAAATATTAAAAAATAAGATTTGATTTCTAATGATTATTTATTATTTTAGATATGGCTGAAAGGTTCGTTATGGTTTCTTCAAACTTTTCTAAATCAAGAAATAAATTTATTTATCGATTCATTTAAATAAGAAGAAAAACCAAATTCTTATGATCAGACTTTGTTTTTTGTTTAGAATACGCAATTCAAGTTATCGTTTAAGTCGACCACCAAATCATATAGGTCGTTATAAAATGATTCGTCATGAAAAACGTGAACGTGCTGTCAATCGGTAAAAGATATTTTCTATTATTTGGCAAACATTTTTGTTTTGTTATTAAATTTAGTCATCAATTACTTCAAGGTTGGACTCG